GGGGCACACACAGACCCCACCTGGATCCCAAGCACAAAGTGGGGAACAGCTCACATGTATTAATGAAGCTCAATAACCAAGGGGCTTGATCTTGAGACAATGACTTTACCAGGCCAAACTGCACAACTTCACCTACTGACCACGTTTCCTCCTAATTAACAGTGCATTACACACCATTTCCATTCCCAGGGAAACCATCTGGCCCCTCTCTGGAGCCCTTTTGCCCTTGTGGCTTGTCTCAGAGCCCCAAGTGAGCCTGAGCTTGGGGGTGCTGGGAAAACACATCTCCTGCAAACACCATGGCCCTCCTCCTCCCCGTGCCCAGTGTACACAGCTGATGCACAGCAGAGGCCTTATGGAAGCAGTTCTGTTTTACATGGCCCAAGGGGATGGAAACCTAAAAAATGCAATAAAAAATGGAGGTGGAACAGAGAAGTGAGAAAAAAATAAAGACATTGAGCACAAGTTGGGAGATTGTTTTTCTGACTCTTTGGGGTTGGGTTCACATGGAAGTAGAAATAACTAAAATCCTTGGTTGGAGAACTTTTGGTTTTGTTTATTAATTCTTAAGATAAAGCACACATGTAGAACAGAACTGGGTCTTCCACTGGTCCAGTAAAATCTTCAATGATACAGATCTTCCTTTCTTAGGACTCCACTTAACAAAACTTCACATGATGAGATTTAACTTCACCCCTGTGTTATCCCATCCCAGTGATCTGCRGGCTACCAGACAAAGCATGAAGAGCCCATTCCAAAGCTACTCCTCCATCTTTGGCTCCTCACAGCAGCAGAGTAAACCCCTCCCAGCCAGCTTGGTTAAGCAGGTTCATTCTTGCCTGTGTGTGCCTCAGGACTGTGCTCAGCACTGATCCAGCTGCTGTGAGGGATGGCAACAGGTCTGTGCAGCTGTTTTCCCTGTGAGTGTGGCTATTCTGTAGTTTGGATAACACCCCATTCTGCATAATCCTAAACAATTTCTCACCTACATGATTTCAGGCCCTTCAACATACRTGGCTGCAGTTATTTAGCCACTCAGCCTGCCATAGCATAGAGCGTACCAGGGATGTGARGACATTCTTTGAATTTCAGACATATATGTTTACTGTGAAGGAATCTGCAGCTGGAGGGAGGAGCTGTGAGAATGCAACACCAAGGAAATGTTTACTGATAGCATATAAAAAAATAACCAGATCAAAGGACAAAAGCAACATTTTACTGGAAGTGGACCCCAGAACCAAGAACAGTATTTAGAAGCAGAGATGGGACCTAACTGAATGGGTTTGGGATTTTTCCCCTCTCATGGCTGGAGAAGGGGGAGCAGGCAGGGCAGTGCTCACAGCCAGCCCCAGTGATGCCATCTGAGCTCTGTGGCTCCTCAGTGCCAGCCCTCTCCAAGGGCTGCAGCAGGGCTGGCACTGCAGAGCTCCATCACTTGCAGCCTTGGGAGCAAATTCTTCTCTCAGCTTGACAGTACAGTTTTTTTCCTGGCTCCTCGAATGAGACACATTAGGACCCAAGGCACCACTTTTAGGTTCTTTCTGCACGATATCCCTTGGAAATGTGCCTTGCTGCCACTTCCTGGCATGCCAGCCTGGMCTACCAGCTGTCTGGAGCTGGCACACGAGCACGGGCCCATAGAGGGGTGCTGCAAAGAATGGCAAGGAGTTTCTTGCAGTCCCARCCTGGCAGGTGCCTGAAGTCCCGCTGTGCCCTGAGCCCCTGTCCCACTGTGGGATGCAGGGGAGCCACGGTGCTCCCATCAGCCGGTGCTGCATCCTCAGGGGAGCGGCTGCAGGCTGCGGTATGCGGCCAGCAACCATTGACTTCTTTTTCCGTGCATGGCTGGGTAAGTAACCTTAATTAAAAACATGAAGCCCACAGTTTGTATCACATTCACGATGTTAAACAAGCTCTGGAAATAGAAACACTGTTTTCATTTAAGCTTTTCAACTGTGATCTATGTAATAAAATATGGAGGGGGCGGGCGTGTGTGAGATTTACATGTGATGATTTGGGAGATCTCACTGAGGCTTGTGAGGCGCTGCAGTGCCAACTGCTCCTGCCACTGCCTCACCACGTTTGGCAATGCCTGCCCCACACAGACTTCTGGTTTTTTTTTCCAGAACTGCTTTCCAAATGGTGATTTCTGCCCTCAGCTCTTRCTGCTGTGATTTATTCTGGGTATGGGTGTGGGATGTGCAGGACACTCAGCAACCTGCTGCCCTGGCTGGCCATGCCCTGCCCAGCTCTGGACAGGGGCCAGGTGAGCAGTGCACATTTCTGCTGCTCCTGGGGACCACATGCATCCTTGAGGACAGCCACATACCCTGCAAGTGCAATGATCCTCCATGCCCATGCCCAAACAGCACCATCATCAGTAGACACATGGAAAGATTATTTTTGCATTCCCAAATCCTCTTGAGCTTCCACACGGGAATGAGCATCGATTCCACAGGCAAGAGGGGAGGCTCTTCCAAGGGCACTTGCTCACTACCCTGCTAGTGCATAGATTGCCCCTGCTCCAGAGGCTGCCTCAGCCTGCAGGACCCACAGAAACCCACCATGCCCCACCTGCACCTTCCCTCAGGCTCTGGAGACCAGAACCTGCCTGGCCTAGCAGAGGGGGATCACCCTGCTGTGCCAGAGGGATGGGGAGAAGGGAGTGAGATGACAACAGAACAAACAATTTTCTGAGACTGCAAGCAATTTAAATCACCTTCCCGCGGGAGCTTGTTTTTGGTCAAACTTGTCACTTTCTCGGATTCCTTTTGCTGTGGTATAATTATAACAATACTTCCTAGGTCATACACAGTTCATCTAGGCATGGCAATGATCAGAGCTGTGTGTTTTGCAGGAAGCTCCTAATCATCATGTTAGCACAAACAGGAGGCATTTGTCCCACAGTGCTCCCCWATGTCCCCTCCTCCCCCAGCTGGTTCTTGAATGCTCTGGCCATGGCTCATCCTGAGGGGCAGCCTTACCAGGGCTTTGCCCAAAAGTCCATGCAAGTGCAGAACACACAGCCTGCACAGAAGCACTCTCGTGGTTTTTGACGTTTTTCTACCCTCTGCTTTCTTGGCAGGGGACTGGTAGCAAGTTGTTCATGTATTTTCCTCCCACTCTGGGGACAGTAATTTTCCTCCATGGACAATGGGGCATCTTCAGTGCATTGCCCTATCCCAGACTCTCCCCTGCTTCCCGTCAGCAAATGGAGAAAACCCCAATGCAAAGGTGCCCCTTTTCCAGGCACCCTCTCCCCAGTGTGTGTGGTGGTATGACGTCGCAGAGCGGCCGTGACGTCACGCACCCGTGACGGCGGGGTGCGGGGATGGGGTGAGCCCCAGGAAGCCCCACGGCGGGGCTGAACCGGGGCGACTGAGCCCTGGGAGGCGGAGGGGTCCTCGGGCCGCAGCAGGAACCTGTCCCCTCCGTCCCCACCGCTGCAGCGCCAAGCCAGCGGAGAAACCGCGCACCGCGCCGCGGTGTCCTCTGCAGCCCGGGAACACGGGAGGGGACGAGACCAGGGTGAAGGCAGGGGGCGGGGGTGCAACTGGTTCCGGTAGTAGACTCCGGTCCTTTGGGGTCACGCTTGAGGGGACAAGGACGGGGACAGAGAGGTGCCATGGAGYGTGGAGTCGCGGGTGGTGCGCGCACGGGGGATCCGCGCCGCTCACGTCCCGCCGGGCTCGCAGGCGCAGACGGCTGCTCCCGTTCACCCGCGGCGGTCAAATAACGTCTGAATTACATCCTTGTAAATATTGACTGTGGCCATCTTCTTCGTTTCTGCGCAGAGAACCTAAATGTTAAGCCCGGCGGGGCCGGGCTGCTGCGCCGCAGGGCTGAGCGGGGTGCGGGGCGTGTGGAGCGGCGGGGCCGAGGGAACGGGGCCACATCCGTGGGAGCGGGATGGGGACGCCCGCAGACATCGCCGGCAACTGGGCATCGGACATGTGCGGGAGCGCGCCGGCCGCGCCAAGGATGCTAAAGGCAAAGGGCTGTCTCCTGGCTTGGACTGGGGGCCAATTTATAACCTTTGGACGGGAGCGAGGGACAACACACGACATACAGAAGAAGACGGAGAAGCGTGGTGGGAGGTATTTCCTGGTATGGCATCACTAGGCGCCGGTGCTAATGAGTGGCAAAGGGCTGCGGCTGCGCCCCGTGCCCCCGACGGGGGTCTCTCACGCAGTCAGCGTGACACTAGCCTGTGTCCTGAGCCGCTTTCCCCTGGGGACTTCCACACTCAGACGGTGGACTGCCCAGCCGTGCACTGCCGTACCCTCAGATGCCCCTGGCCGGACTCCTRCCGCCCCTCCACGCACCGCCCCTCGACGCCGCTCTGCCCGGGCGGGGCCCGTGCCCTGGCCGGAGCTGCTGGGGTCCCCTCGCCGGCGGTGACACCCCCGGGGATGGGGTGCAGCGGTCCCGACAGTGTGAGTGGCTGTTCGGCGGCTGTGCCGCCGGGCGCTGGCTCTGCGCATTTGGTGGTCGTTAAAAACAATTTGTTTCCCTTCCCGTTTGGGGAGGGGGAAGGGGAAAACCATTCCGGGGGAGGGGAGGGGAGGGAAAGGGAAGGGAAAAAAGGGGGAAAAAGGAGTGAGAGAGAGAGCAAGCGAGACAGAAACACCAAACCCGACAGAAAACCCGCGCTCTGAACTATTGCGACACGGAGCGAGGAGCGCGGCGAAGGCTGGCGGCGAGGTGCGAGTGGGAGCGGGCCGGGCCGTGGGAGCGGGCCGGGCCGAGGAAGCGGACCGGGATTGGGTGGGGGGGCCGTGAGAGCGGGCCGGGCCGTGGGAGGGGCGGGCTGTCTCCCCCCCGTGGGTGGGCAGGCGGCGCCCGGTGCCTCCGCGCTGCCCCCCCGCCGGTCGCGCCGGGCGGGTCTCGGCGGTTCGGCGCGGCTGCCCGGTGACCGCTGCCGCCTCCCCGCAGCGCACAGCGAGCCCCCGCACCTCGGAGCCGGCGGCCAGCACGACGGCGGCCCCCAGCCCCCCACCATGAACACCATCGTCTTCAGCAAGCTCAGCGGCCAGGTGCTTTTCGAGGAGGACGCCAAGGAGCGGGAGCGGAGCGGCCGGTCGTACGTGGGGGTGGTGGAGGGCCCACACCACGCCGAGGTGCTGCTACCCGACAGCCCGTCCATCAAGGAGAGCCTCAGCCTGCGCAACCGGCGGACGGGGTATGCCGTGTGCTCGTCTCCGCGCCGCGCACCGGCTTCGGGGGCGGCCCTGCCTGCGCTGCCGGCGCTCCCGGCCGCCGCGTCGCCGATTTGGGGTCGCGAGATGGGTTTCTAGCTGGGTCTTTCCCTGCGCCCCCGGGTCCGTATTCTCTGGGATTCTCATTCCGCAGCCACGGTGGGAAATTCCGGCAGTAGGTGATGCCGGGGCGTCCGATCGGGCTGGAATGTGCCAGACAGAGCGCTCCCGTCCTGCTGCGCTTGACCTCCCCCTCTGCCTCCAAACGAAAACAAGCCGGGAACACCGGGGTTCTACCGGCTCGTTCGGGCCCCTCATGCAATTAAAGTCTCCAAAACGGAGGCGCCAGGCGGGACGTGTRAGACCTGGGAGACGGGGCRGCGGCGGGGCCGGWGCCCGGCGGCAGTGCCGGGGCAGCGGGGCTGAGGCGGGCGGGCAGTGCGCTGCCCCGGCACTTGTTCCGCCGTCCCCGCGGGCTCGCAGCGCGCCGAGCGAACGGGCGGGAAGCAGCTGCATTGACGATGCGTTCCCAGGAATGGGATTTAGAAAGGACTAGCGCGAATCAGGGGCTGGCTAACATGATGTTAGGATCGGGTTTGCTAAAACGGCAGCTGAGAGTAAGCCGCCCGAAGCTGGATTTTTTTGGAGGGTCTTTGGGTCTTTTTTGGTTTGTTGTGTTTTGGGGTTAGGTTTTTTTTTTTTTTTTTTTTTGGTTTTTTTTTTTTTTTTTTTTTTTTTTTTGATACTGGAACAGGTGAAATAGAAGGTGGTGAGAGGACGTGAGAGCTCCGGCGTGTTGTGAGCCGTAGCTCGGAGGGTTGAACAGGCGAGCGCTGACCAGGCATTTCGGGTCAGTGTTACAAAGTAAAGATCGAGGAGCACTGTCAGGCGGCTGAGAACGCGAGGAGTCCTGGGGAGCTGCTTGTACTGAGAATTTCCACCTTAGCGATTGCATCAGCTCGCAGCTTTAGCGGCGGTGCTGGCCGAGAGGAYGCAGGTGTGTGTCACCGATGTGTTATTGCAGCCGATCGCGGCGGAGCGGGGCCGCCGCGGGAGCCCCGGGCGAGGCAGCGGCGCGGTTCGGCCCGGCCCGGCCCCGCACRGCCCCGTGGCGCCCTCTGCCGCCGCCGCCGGCCCCAACCGGCCTCTGAGATTTCCTTAGGATTTCTCCAATTTTGTTCACTCACTTTTTATTGTAGGCCTTTATTTACAAAGGGACACCTTTACTTTTTTTGTTGGTTGTTTTTGAAACGGAACCCGGGTTTCGTGCCCCCGACATCCGCGGCTTTGCGGGCAGCCTCGCGTCGCTGCCGGCGGCGCTGGGAGCGGCACGCCGGCTCCTCCAAGAGCAGCGCTCGGCGCCGGCTCCGAGGAACGAAATGATCCAGGAGCTGCTCGGTGCCGCGGCTATCTCTGAGTATCAGCGGGAAATAAACGCGGGGGGTCAAATCAGGCTGGGCTGACCCCGGGGCAGAGCGCACCGCAGCCGCGGGATGCGCGGCCGGCCGTGCGAGCTGTGGCCTGACGGCGCTGGAAAGCCCCTCTGCGAACGGCCTGGCCACGCCGCCTGTCAGGTGCCGAGCACGGAAAACATCGGACACTCGCACCGGCGGAGCCCTGGCYCCGCTGAAATCCCCGCGGGGAAGCCGCCCGGGCCCGCCGCATTATCGCGGCCATTCACCGGCTYTGAGTCCGCTCGCCCTGACCTTCCACAGGGAGTTGGGGGAGCTGGTGGCATCACCTTTCTCTTGAGCCCGAGAGCTGCGGCTGTAGAAAGTCCCCGAACACCCCGCGAGGCCGGGGCTCGGCTCCTCCGGGCCGGGCACACCCCGGGGCTGGGTCCGCTCTCGGACAGGGCGCACCTTCCGCAGCCGCGCAGGGAAACCCGGGGCCAGGCGGGAGGAGCGGGCAGGGTCCGGGGCCGGGAGCGAGCAGCGGGCGGGTGTCCCGGTGCTCCGGTCCTCAGCGCCCCTTCTCCGCGGCAGGGCGCGGCAGAGCGGCGGGAAGGTRCGGCACAAGCGGCAGGCGCTGCAGGACATGGCGCGGCCGCTCAAGCAGTGGCTCTACAAGCACCGCGACAACCCATACCCCACCAAGACGGAGAAGATTCTGCTGGCCCTCGGCTCCCAGATGACCCTGGTGCAGGTAAGGAAGGGAACCCCTCACCACCACCTTTAAACGCCGCTCTGAGGCTTTTCGTGGACGGGAGGGATGGGGACAGCATTCGCCAAACTCCTCTGTGAGCTGAGCAAAGGACGGTGCTGGGTATTCGGGAGTATCAGTGCAGTCAGCAAGACCAGGGATTGTGTGCACATCCTTCTCTCATTCTCTGGGCTCCTCCACCCCAGCAGGACTGTCTCTCTCAAACAAGAATTACCACATCTGAGCTATCATAGATGGAGGAGTGCTAAAGATAATCAGCAAAAAGTGCGTGCTTGCTCTCCTAGGAATAGATGCCCTCATCCTTTCATCTCATTCATAAATACTCTGAAAATATTTTTGCTTAGTCTTAAAAAATTCTCAATTAAAAAAATATCAGTCATGGGAGATTTCAGCACAGAATAGGAATTGTTGAGGAAATTGCAGGGASCTACTCTTTCCTTTTGAAGTGGGGCTAGAATGGAAACTGTTCTATTGTTCTGGTAATAATTGTCATCACCTGTTGCACAGATATTGGCATTACCCTACACATTGTGTGCATTGGCTGAGCACATACTGACTGCACTTCATAGTCTTGCAAGAATTATCATTGTAATGTAATTAGACACGGGGAGTAATTGTTTTGCTGTCAGGTAATATTCCCCTGAAGTGACTGGCAGTTGTCTTGCCATAAGAGGCATAAAGTTTGCTGCAAACGTTTATAAATCTCACTTCTTTGTTCTCTTTGCCATCTGGCACTCTACTGAAATGTGTGGTTAAATGCTATCAGTTGCTGAGTGATGCTATCTCAGGTCTGGATGCTACAAAGATTTACGCATTGTGAATAATCTAATTTCCTTACTGCAAGCTATTGCTAGGTGCGTAAAATGAAACCCATGTGTTTGCAGGACTGGGTCCTCATCACTCTGCCGAACACATTATGTGTCACTTTGCAAAGGACACAAATAGATCAAAGTAACCTAAAGGATAAAAAAAAAGCAGGTGGTAATTCAGCTTTATTATTTTGAGTGCACCTTCAAAAAAAGCCTGTGCTATGAACTTCAATTCTAGTAATGGCAAAATGGGAAATTTTTACACTTCAGTACCTCACTATGAAACTTACACTAGGAAAAACACTATAGGTTTAACAAAAATAATATTAATATCTCAGAAAATGCCAGTTATAACTGGAAGATATTGTTAAAACAACTTCTCTTTTATAAAATRTACATGAAAAGTTTAAACTATGAATTACATAAACACCATCCCTTCAATGGCACAATTCAGTAGGAGTACTTTATTGGACTATGGCTCTCAGAATATCCCTGCATATTTACATGAGATTTAAAACATACATCCAGAATATGTGTTGGGACACTTTCACACTGATGACATCTTGAGGAGTTCCGCCAATCTTTTAAAAATGCCTCAGTATGAACAGGGTACAGAAAAAAACTGGTGGGTTTTTGCAGAATTTCTCTCGTGGCAGCTTTGATAAATGCTGATGGGGATAAGCTGTGTTAGCCTTTATAAAAGCATCAAGTGAGCCACGGCCACTACTCCATAGAGTTTTATGATCTATGTAAGGTGCAGAATAAAATTAAAAAGAATCAAGGAGGGCTGCATTTAGCTCTGTCAGACTGCTGTGACTCTAGTGGATTTACGCTGAAACTGAATTTGACCAGTTTTGTTTCTATGAACTGTAATGTTTGAAAGAACTGTGCAAACAGGCACATCTATCTTCATTTACAGAAGCACACCATCAAAGAGAAATCTCAGGTGTTTTGTCCATCATTTGTGTGCAGTGGTCTTTTAATCCAGGACTGTAATAGCATCTGGATGAGATGTAAATACATATGTCTGGCACCAGCAGTAATTCCTGAGCCTCAAAGAATTAAACAATACACACCCCATACCTACTTTTTGGATGCCCAAAAAGACCGAGATTGTAATCCAGTTCAAATTTTTTGTTCTCTAAGAGTGAGAGAGAGCACGTGAGGCTGTGGTCTCAGTGACACTGGGTGCATCTGATATAGCTTTCCTGAGGGCTGTGCTCTTCCAGACAAGTGGCATAACCAAGAGCAGGTTTGGGACTTTGCTTCGGTGTCTGTTGGAAAGCTTTGCTTCTGTCCCAGGAGAAGCGTTTTGCAAAAGCATCAGATGAGGTTGCCTACAAATTGTTTTTCTAATCTAGTAATATTGTTGGACGTCATTAGAGAACCAGGAATCAGTGTATGATGTTTCCTCTGGGTTAAACGCCTTCACGTTTGCTGACCTGTCTCATATTTCCTACGCTTTTTACATTTTTCAGTGCTGTCCCGTGGTGTTTGCTCCCACAGCTTTCCACTCTTGTGGAGGCTGTTGTCTGCTGACAGCTGCTGCGTCTTCCCAGCATCCCTCATGTGCTGACATCTTGTCGTCACAAGCCCTAGGAAAGGCAAAAGATACTGTTGAATATCGTTTTGAGTTTCTGCCAAAATGCCATTTAGTGAATGAATGGCTGGGGTTTTTTTTTGTTTTTCACCTGACTGATAACCTTGGAAAAGATCTTCAGCAGGTGTCTGGAAGATGATGTTGGTCACAGATATATTGATAATTCAGATGTAACTCTTCTTCCTGTGCTTTTCTTTAATCTAATGAACCTTGTTCCAACATGTACCATCTCTCCAAAGCTCTTTCAGGACCACGGTGTAGATAAAACCAATTCTGTTGTGAGACAGAGGTGAACATCTGGTCCRGTTTTATACTTTTGTTATTAGGAGAACCTAATGATGTGCAGATACTAATAACTTTTGTTATTGCTATCTGCATGTCAAATCTTCCACAACTTTATTTTCRCTAGTTTTGGTATCACTCAGTTTACTGATTTTAAATTAATTTATTCTACTTCACTAATACTTTGTCCTATGCCCCTGTTCTTGGGTGCAKTGGGACAGCAAGGGGACTATTCCAGATGCAAGTCCAACTGCGCTGCTGAAAAAAAGTCAGACTCTTTCAAGGAGGTAGGATTTTGCAGGAATCATAAATCATCTTGTTTCTTAAATAGTAGTAGCAAAACCTGGGGCAAATTCTGGGCTGACTTACTCCTGTGCAGGCCAAAAAGGTCTTTGGGAGTCCTCAAGGCAAATGTTATTGCAGATTTCAGTCCAACAGTCCAAAGTTTTCTACTTCCMCAACTGCCAAAGCAGGAAACCAAAAAAGCAATATAGTTTGAAAAGGCATTTTATATTTTAGTCCAATTAGATTCCAATTCAGAATCCAATAATTTGTCCTATTAATATGCTATATTTTCATTYGTATTATTGCCACAGTGCTTGATATATTTTATTTTAAATTTTGGTTTAGATTTTCTTGTGAAATAAAAAAGAAAAATGGCTGTATATTCCTTCCAGAAAGAAATATGAATGTGTGTATTGTTGAAAAGAAGGTTTTTTCAATACAAGGATTAGTATATCAGTCATGTGCTGCTATGGATTTAATAGTATTCAGATTTATAAAGGCGTATCTGGATTACTGGAGGAGGAGAATCGCTTGATGTCTGTTCCCTTTCTGAAAGTTTGGCCACTCTTAAGCACTGAAGCAGAACAAATTACAATAAAATTGAAGATGTGTCTTCAGAAGTAAAGCCAGAGGGTCAATATTTCATGATGCTGATATAAGTACCTGATGCTCTTAGGGAACAACTGAACTGCTGTAAAAAATGAATGCTGGAAAGCACATCTATTATCGYTCCCGGTGGATTTTGTCTTTTTACTTCTCAAAGAACTACAGGATTGTTACTTTACAAGAATAGTGAGTTTCATCATCTGTTTTTTCAAGATACTTAGTTCTTGGGAGGTTTATGTGACAAAAATTTTCCCACTGGCTTTGATCTAATTCTTTTTTTAATCATTTTTGAACATCACAGTAGTGCAGCTTGGGACCATGGGAGAAGTTGAATGTTTTTGGCAGCTTGGGTTGTTTCTTTCTGTAATGGTTTAGGTAAGTGTGTAGCAAACTGGCAYTCTGTGAGTGCGATTTACAGCAGCAGGAACTCTGTAGGGTTTTTAAACTCTCAGGATTTTTAAAGACCACATGGATAGACAAAGTAGCATTTGGGGCTGGTTGAAATGAGTGGTACAACTGCTGTCTTTGGAAGAGAGAGGTGGTGGCTGGAGGTCAGGGTGACGGTGCTGACTGGTACAACCTGTGGCCATGCAGCCTCTTCCAGTGCACACCCCCTGAGGTTCAGTCCAAGACTGAAGCATGAGAGAGGTGTTGAATCTCATGATGTCTTAGAAATTAGAATGTTCCAGCAACATGCACTAGTGCCCAGAAGCAAGAAATCACCCAGAGATTGACACATAGATGAAGCCTAAAAATCTCTTAAACGGATTTGACTAACTTCCTTCCTCCCAAGGCTTTAGTGGGCCTTATTGTAATTGGATAAGAGTTTTTAGAGTGAATTTGCTGCTTGATGCTTTAGTAGAAGGTTTCTCTTCTAAAAGCTGACTTGAAGTTCTTTCAGATAAAGATAGTCATTTAGGTTGGAAAAGACCTTTATAACCATCAGGTCCAGCCATTGATCCAGCACTGCCAAGTCCACTGCTAAACCATGTCCCTAAGACCCACATCTACATTTCTTTTAAATACTTCCAGGGATAGTGACTCAASCACAGTGACTTCCCTGAACAGCCTGTTCCAATGCCTGGCAATCCTTTCTGTAAAGAAATTTTTCCTTATGTCCAATATAATCCTTCCCTGATTGAACTTGAGGCCTTTTCCTCTTGTCCTGTCTCTTGCCACTTGGGAGAACAGTCTGATCTCCCATCCTTTCAGGCAGTTCTAAARAGCAATAACATTTTCCCCGAGCCTCCTTTTCTCCAGGCTAAACATCCCCAACTCCCTCAGCTTCTCCTCATCAGACTTGTGCTCCAGATTCTCCCCACCTCTACTGTCCTTCTCTAGACCTTCTCCAGCACATGGAGAAGCACAATGTCCTTCCTGGATTGAGGGGCCCAGAACTGGACACAGCACTCGAGCTGTGGCCTCACCAGTGCTGTGTACAAGAGTGTGATCACTGCACTGGTCCTGCTGGCCACATGTTGCAGTACAGTTCTTAAAATTATTAGAAATGCCTCTGCCCAAATTAAGGTGCAAATGAGACCATATGYCRAAYGATTCCTGTCTCTGACACCACACTGGACAGTTTTTTGCCCAGCAAAGAGCACACTTGTCCAAGCCAMGGGTAGCCMGTTTCTCCAGGAGATGCTGTGGGAAGTTGTGTCAAAGGTTTTACTGATGTCCAGGAAGACACATCCACAGCCTTTCCCTCATCTATTAAGTAGGTCACCCTGTCACAGAAGATSAGGCTGGTAAAGCTGGACCTGCCTTTCACAAATCCTTGCTGGCTGGRCCTGATTGCCTGATTGTTCTGTACGTGCTGTGTGATGGCACTGAAAATCATCTGCTCCAGAAAGAACATGATGACAAGGTGCAATATATTTATCTCATTATGAAATAATGATCAAATACTACTACTCCCTTCTCTCATAGCAGAAGACTTAAAATATGACTCATCTTTTCATRTTGATATGCAGAAAGCAAAGCAATGGCATGGGAAGAATGAGCCCAAAATATACTGAGTACCATGCAGAAATCACTCCTGCTAAATTTAATTGCTTTTATGTATGAATCACACTAATACTACCCTATCTTTCTTTTCTGTAAATGGCACTTCACTGATGAAAAATTTCAGTATGTAATAAAATGAKGCATAATGAAATCTTTCTTGTGAGAGGTTGGAAAGCTGTCAGTTTGGTAAAATGTGGCAGTAACTGCAATCCTGTTCATTGGGACCCTGGATTGATCTATCTCTGCTGTTAAATAGTTGATTTCAGAATTACATTGTCATGCAGCAGGTGACTGCTGCTTCAGCTGAGTAGTCTGGAGTGAGTTTGCTAACAGCATTAGAAAGGGCACGGATTCCAGCCCACCCTATCTCTTCTACTATAAAAATTGCTGTGTCAATATAGTGATTATAACCAAGTAGCCTCGGATGAGAATGAAAATTACTTACTCTGCCAGCTACACTTTTGGTTTTCTAACCTGTCACAGTAAACTACATGGCTTRTATATGTTTGGCATCTGAGCACTGATCCATTCCTCATTGTATTTTCAGTGGAACCCTGTTTCATGTAAATGTGATTTTAATTAAAATCAAAGTAACAGGCATAAGGCACTACTGCTAAGTTCTACCTGGGACTCTGAACTGAAGCTTTGCTTTTTCTTTAGGCAGATAATGTTTCTTTTTCTCATAATCACCTTAGAAGGGGTTATTGATCCAGAATAATTAGAGAGATACTTCTGTGTGATTTATACAGTAACCTCAGCTACGACAGAGAGTTGACAAAACTAGGGCCAAAATCCTGCACTAAGGTCTACAGTCTGGCTCTCTGTTAGGTGGGGCAGCATGTATTGATAAAACAGGTATGAACTTGCTTTGCCTGTTGATGTAAATTAAATTGTATGATTGTTCTCTGCTCAGAATATGACAACAGTAGTCTCTGGCATCCTCTGTGTGCATACTCACAACACAAAGATGTGAGTGGGGCTGCAGGCTCCTAAAATCCTTTACATTCTCCTTTGCAAGTAATGTTGCCCTGTCTGCTTCTTGCAGAGGTCATGCCAAAATGCACTTATTCCTGCAAGGGGTAAATTGCTCTTTTAAGACCTTATTGATCATTARACAAATGCTCTTAGAATGTAGGTTGCTTGCCTCTGCTCTTGCTCATAGTAAAGTTACAGTTGTCAGTATTTTCTMTTTTATATCTTTTTAGTTGCAGTAGAATCAAGGCCAGCATTTTCTCAGGTGTGCTTTCATGCAAAGTCACTGCAAGTACATGCATCCCACGTGGTGGTTTAATTAGCACTGTTGGCACAGAAGGATAGTCTGTTCCCTTTTGCTCATTCAGTGCCTAAAACAGTGTGAGATTCTTGTGTTTGAGCCTGACTTTGTGGATGAGTCTGTATGCTAGAAGGATACCAACACATATCCATTTTGATGTGTCGCACTCTACAAGATGCTTTGCAGCTGGGAAGGAAGGCAAAGACTATTATTTAGTAGTCACCTTGTGAGGAGTCTGCATCTTCGMCAGTTTTTAGGGTGTCCAGAACAGAAAGAGTTTGTAAAATCTGCTRCCCTGTAGAGCAAATGGTTGATTTCTGCAGTGAGTCAAAGCACGCTGTACTCTGTGTAAGACTTTCCTGATGCCCACGGCTTGTCAGACGAAGAGTACTGTCAAAGTAGAAGGAAAAATTTGGGCTTTTATATACAAATTCAGAATGTCATTTTCTATTCAACAGCCTTATTGTAGCCTATATAAACATCAAAGGAAATTCCTGAATATTAGCTATTAGTTTTAATTTAGGAAGTTGRTAATATATTGAAGGTTCATATTGAAAGTTCAGGGCTTTATCATTAAAATAAAAATTTTAAAAAAAGATGAATATGAAACTAGTATTTGAGACACCGTAATTGAAACCTTGTGATAATGTGGTTTTGCTGATATTTGGGAGGGGTGGAAAGCCTGAACCTGCCTCCTTGTATGAGGTTCCTGCTCTGCTCAGTGATAATTTCATGGACTTCTGATCATATTTCTCTTGTTTGCCTTGAAGCATACATAAATCTCTTGAWAGCTCTATGGATTTGTTTATTTGTGTAATTTTCAAGGGAAACTAATGCACTCATTTGTATGCAGGTATCAAACTGGTTTGCCAATGCAAGGCGCCGCCTGAAGAACACTGTCAGGCAACCAGATCTGAGCTGGGCTTTACGAATAAAACTGTACAACAAATATGTTCAGGGAAATGCTGAGCGACTCAGCGTGAGCAGYGATGACTCATGCTCTGAAGGTTTGTTGATGCTCTTTTATCAATTTTAAACTGATTAAAGTATATTTAGAAAGTATTAGATACCCTAAGTTAGCTGTAGTTTTTARTCACAAAATACCCTCAGTGGATCTGCCTTAATTTTTTTTGTGAATTAGGTATCTTTTTTGGTTCCAAATCAGTATGCAACCTTGCAAAGCAGGATTTTGTAAGTTGTTCAAGGGGACAATCTGGTTGCATGTTATTGTATTTCATTGTTACTAGAAAGAGAATTGTTAGTTCATTACATTCTACAAGCCTATTCCTTTAATCTGCATTAAAGGAATCTGCATTAATTAATTAATGCTGATTATTCTGCTTTAATCTGCATTAAAGGAAAATAATTCATTGGTAAAAAGAACTGAGGAATCTCTTGATTGTTATTTCCTTGATGGAGGGGCTATAGCAATATACATCATTAACAGAAGAATCTGATTAACTTCAGTGGAGCTTATTAGAYGGTAAACTGAATATTACTGTTATTTATATCATGTATTTTGCTAGCAACTGTTTTMTATAAAGAATGCACTGCAATTCTCTTTCTTACTCAAATTAACAAATGAAAGATTTTTTTTAGAGGTCCATGTGTTTTTAATAGAACACTTTTATTAATTCTGTCTGTGGGTRCCTTTTTTAAACAGTTGTGACATGGAGATTTAATGACAGGAACAAGTGCTACAGAACATTGTCAGAACTCTGTATGTGAATTTTTAGAAGAGCATGTCTCAATTTGTACTCAATTTCAAATATCTTTGTTCTAATTTCAGACTGTACTCACATTTCCTGAAAAATGTGAGAATGTACTCACATTTCTACTCACTTCCCTTGAAAAGATTGCTTGCGGAACAATTAAAAGAGTACAGTTTAAGCAAATGCACCTAAATATGCTGTGGTATTCAGGCAAACCAAATTTCAAGTTATGATAGTAAAAATGCAGCTTATTCACACAGCTTTCAAAATACTTATCATTGAGTTAGGGCACTTCTCAGTTTTTTTCTACCTGATCTGTGTTACTCACAAACAAATTAGGCTCAAAGACTGTTTTCTATAGCAAATTAATTTAGAATAGCTGGAACATCTGAGAACAATGGGAACTACTATGAGCAGTGTGTGAACAGAAGAAAATGAAAATCAGWGTCTAATGCTGAAGTTACTGTCTAGTTTTAGTTATATTTACCACAATTCAAAACATGTAGAGAAAGCCTCATGTTAAATATTAGGTACTCAATATATTACTGTATCTTTGTTCTTTCCTTTTCAGATGGAGAAAATCCTCCAAGAAACCATATGAATGAAGGGGGATATAACAAACCAGTTCATCACACTGTGATTAAAACTGAAAGTTCAGTAATAAAAACAGGAGTGAGACCAGAAACAAGTGCCAATGAGGATTATGTGTCACCCCCCAAATACAAAAGCAGCTTACTGAATCGTTACCTAAATGACTCATTGAGACATGTCATGGCTACTAACGCAGCTATGATGGAAAAAACAAGGCAAAGGAATCATTCCGGTTCATTTAGTTCCAATGAATTTGAGGAGGAACTGGTGTCTCCATCATCATCAGAGACAGAAGGCAATTTTGTCTATCGGACAGGTAAGGGATAATTTTCTGCCTGGTTTCTATTACAGACAGCTTCAGTAGACAGTGTTTCCTGCAATAAGTGTCACCTGATGATGTCTTTTATGAGACTGGGTAACTTCTGTCCATCYTCTCATATGACAGCAGAAAATTCCTGTCCGTCTTCTTGCATGAGAGTAGATTAATCCTGTCCATCCTCTCATATCAGAGTAGATAAATCCTGTCCATCTTTTCATTTTCTGGACATGTTCTGCCTGCAATGTTACAGTTAAGTGCTGTTATTGACCACTAATGAAGCTGGTTTGCTTTTGAAATGGAGCAATGGGGATAATTTTTGAAATTACAGAGGCCACTTTTTGTCAGCACTAAGGCAGCAGAAAACTCTTGAGCATTCTATTACAGTAAGGGAGGWCTAGAGGAAGACTGAAGTACTCCATGGCCCCTGGAGCTAGGAGAAGGAGGAGGAGGGCTTTGAAATTTTGGGATGGCTGTTTGTGACATGAACACCTTCTCCTGTTGTACAACACCTTTTCTGTCCTCAGAGTCTCTTGTCCACTATGTGACCCTTTGGTRCTCATGCATCTCTTAGGAATACAGGCATTAGAGTGGACTAATTTCTGCATCACCCTCCAGATACAGTGCACTGAGCTAAGGGGTCACAGACTTGGCCATTAAATATCTTGTCTTACTGATTTTTGAAGGRTTACACATAGTTTGTTATTTTAATCTTATCCATAAAACCAAAAAAKCCTGATGTAATATCATTCATTGTGTTACCAGTCAGAGGAAGACACATGGGACTGCTCGGTTCATGCTGGTAAATTGCTATAAATCAGGGCAAGATCAGCACTTGCTCCAGTCCATGTGAGGCAGGGGATGCTGGAAGGCTCCTCTTGTGAAACTACTTCTGTATTTCTTTGGGGTAGAAGGCAAAAAAAAATTCATTTTGAAAAAAAATGAAGTGTGGCTGCCAAATCTCTGAAGGTCTACACCAGTATCTCAGGGTTTCCATCCATTGCAGCAGCCCCATGCGTTGTCCTGGGCCTTTCTTGGCACTTATTCTGCCAGGGACCACCCTTAGGGCAGCATCACTTTAGGGATGGATATTGCTGAAAAGTGGTGGAGGATTTTGCAGTAAAGTTAATACAGATTTAGATTTTCTACTTGGTTCCCCTTGGTTTCCCTGGCAGGCAGGTTCAAGTGCCTTCACAGCCTCCCAAGTTTGCAGCCTTTGCTCTCTCTTTTCTGACATATTTCTTCTGATTTTTTTTTTTTTTTTGTCCACGTGGAGGGCCCACAAGGGTGAGTTCCATGGTGGGGATTGGGAGGATGTTTGTGTGTGCAGGTTGTTGGGAATGACTGAGGAGCGAGTGGGGGCCCTTAGAGAAATGAGATCTGGTGGAGAGAAGAATAGTGTGTGTACAATTAATAAGTTTCAAAATTTACTCTGTCCGTTAATTTTTTTTCTCAACATACCAAATGCATTTGGTCTGCATTACAAGTGTATTGTCTGCCAAGTTTTATTTTTAAATGAAAAGTTACTCAAGAACAGATGCAGCAGCTCAGATATGTAAACTTCTGTTTTTCTGCACTTTATACCATAACCTAAAAATGGACAAAATGACATTTTAAAATTTGTAATTGATTTGCTACTKGGTTAAGTTTTTCTTGACAAGTCTCAAGCTGCACTGAAAAATATGGTCATTAATGTGAAGGCTGTGAGAGGCACACTGTAACTGTGTAAATTCACCAGCTGTGCTGGAATGACTAAAAACTAGTATATTTGTCCTTAAAGTTCATAAGTGACATTCCTGGAAYGCCTCTTGAGATCGTATTTGAGTCAGTTCCTAAATATCTTCCTTAACCAGCAGCTCTCAAAATATAGTTTTATTCTTTTTGCAGTTTAAAAGCAGACAAGGAGTATATAGAAAGAAAAAAACATCATGTATATGCATGATATTTTTYGCTATACCATTGCTATATGTGTGTGAACATTCAGGAAATATAGATACAAATGGGCTTTTTTTTCAGCTATAAAATTAGAGTCCCATTAATGATTTTCTGATTATGTTATACAAGAATTAAGCTTTTCATGAACAATGCAGGTATTTTCAAGTTACTGTCGATTTATAAAACTTATCTTCAAATAGATTAAATTACCCTCATGATTGTTAGGTAGGGAGAGATAACTAAGATAGATTTACTTTTTTATGGGTTTTTTTTTTTGTAATTTGAATACCTGGGTTGGTAGTTCTCAGTGCAGTTGTGTACCAGACCTGTATCTGTGTTTTTTTTTTTTTTTTTGTAATTTGAATACCTGGGTTGGTAGTTCTCAGTGCAGTTGTGTACCAGACCTGTATCTGTGTTCTCAAAAATAACTAATACATTTTGGTTAAGCAAATAACAGGGGAGGGCTGACTGTACCACTCTTGCCCTCCTGAAAGCAGCAAATGTATTTGTAACTGAGATGTCACCACTTACAAGGAGCTCCCCACTGCAATGTTTTGTAGAGCAAAACAACTGATTTTTAACACAAAGGASCTGTTGCAGGATTGTGAAGTCCCTACTAGATGTTTTCATTTATGAAGATATTTTAAGCASTATTTCAAAAAGCACAGAGTGAGAACTGATTAATGTTTTATTTTTAAGAAATGTTTGGCAAGACTGTGCCTCTAAGGACAGGCAGTCACTGGAGTTTAAACTAATTCTTCCTTGTGCTTCCCTGGAAAGGTAACTTTTCGTAGCAGATCATGAGTAAGAAAGCTTACTCACCCTGTCTGGTTCTGATTATGGGCTGGACCCTGATTTCAGGTACATCAGTGTGTCTGGAGCTGCTTTGTTTGCCCAGCGCCCGAGGTCAGACTGGCCACGTGTGTCTCAACAGCCTGCGCCAAATTAACGGCGTACGAGTGCAGCGTCCAATAACAAAAACAAGAAATTGCAGTTTAAAGTTTATAAGGAAAACGGGTTGTGGAGTTTCCCATTTCAGTCATTAACATGCTTATAAACACGGGACCATATGCTACTCCAGCTTCATGCAACTGGGAAATCCCACATAAAGATCAAGGACAGGCTGTGTGACTGGCTGTCGGCAGAGCAGCCTCGTTTTATACCTAAACACAATTAGTGTGAGTTCATGGGGAGCCGTCTCAGTGCTGCACAGGAGCAGCAGAGCCCGAGTTGGAGCTCTCGCAGGTGCAGTGCCCTCAGTGCCATTTCCCCAAAYCTGGGGAGCCAGGGATCTGCGGGGGGAGGCTGCACGGGTGGGTGGTGCGGGAGGATGGAGCAGCTGGAAAAGAGGGTGGCCATCCTCTGGTCTGTCACAGGTTTCTCTAAGTCTTTCTGTTGTAAGCTGATATTTTAAGTGTATACCATGAAATACACAAGTGTGTTCACTTAAAGCAGGAAATTTCGGTTYGGATTAATCCTGGTGCGGGTATAATATATAAATATATATAATTGATCAAACATGCATCCTTAACTGGTGACTGAAAGGCTTGGTGCAGTGAGTGTTTTTGTTTAGTTAAAAACCCGTGCTGGAGAACTGGTTATTACGAACTCTTTGGCATGCTGTCACTCACAGCAGGTTCTCTGTGTGACAGGAATAACTGAAACCAGRCTTGTCTACCTGTATTTATTGTACAAATGCATGCAGAAGCAACAGTCTTGACTGCAACAAGGGCTCCAGGAATCTACAACGAAAAGATCTAATAATGTTTATAGTGAGGCTGAACATAAATCTAAAGAGGCAACGTCAGTCTTTGGTTTACGGATCACTAAAATGCTGAGTTTTCTGTAATCACGCTGCAGCACTCCCTGAGTACCCTATTGTCAGTCACCTGCGGAAACAAAATGTTCTGCATCGTTATAGCACAAGGAAATGAAAATTCACAGCTTTCTGGGATATTGTTGTGTAGTGAAGGACAGCAAAAAATTGTTGTGTAGTGAAGGAAAGCAAAAATTAAGAGAAAAAGAGACGAAACGGCAGGACACGGAGTCCTTTTTCTGTAGACAGATTTTTCATTGATTTCACTTTATATGTTATTCAGTGCAGTAGAAAAGCCAGAACAAATAAAAACAGTGAGGAAACTAAAGACTTGCAGGCCTGGAAAAGAGGACGGCTTTAAACAGACGCTTGAATGACTGGCTGATTTTTGAAGATGTTTGATCTCTATTTTTASACATTTATACTCAGGAGTGTGCTCTGTTTCTGATGTTTTCATTACTACTGCCTTTTTCTTTCCTCTTGCCTTCCTTCCTTTCTTTCCTTTGGTTCCTGCAAAGTTGGTGATTTATAAAGCATGATCCTGGGTCGTTTATTGCAGCACACTGAGTGCTTCTGATGAGATCCTCGGCACACTGAAGGATCAGGCCCAAATTCCTACAAAGCCCTTAAATGTAAGGGTGTAGCCGTGCRCATGAGTACTACAGAGAGACACACAAGCTGCAGAGCACTGCTGTGATTTTGTGTGGTCCTTGCCAACTTTTCCTCACAATTTAACATTTTTAGAAATTAACGTGTAATTTTAAAATGGGCCATAAAATTTGAAAGCATAATACGAACACAATGGAACCTGTTTTCAGAAACAACTCAAGGGACCCACAAAAACCACTCGTAGCAGTGATTTTTTGCAAGTTCAATCTAAATGGTGGTAGAGACCTTGGGGATACTTTGAAATAAATGGTAGCCTGGGAGAGCTGAAGGAGGTCTTTTTTGCAGATCCTAATGTCATCCAGAAGTGAAATGTAAAAGATGAATGTCAAGTACAGTATTAAATGCACACAGCAGCTTAACTGCAATTTGAAGGTTACACGGTTAAGATTGTATTATTTCTGCAGGAATTTTATTATTACATTACCTGATTCGTCAACACTAAAATAGCATGGAATTGAGAACTGAGGAGAAGATTGTGTTTAATTTACTGTTCTGTTGGTTTTTTTTGGGTTTTTTTTTTTTTTCTAAAGAAAGAATAAAAGGAAATGGCTCCACTACATGGGAAGCACCAGGTTTAATA